TGAACATCGTACCTTTGAAGTTGACCAAGGTCCATATGCTTTGAGCACTAAAAGAAATCCTTCTTCCAGAAGCCAGAACTTTGACAATGTTGATCCTTATGGATAATCAATTAAATACTTGTGCATTCCATAAATAGAGATTGATCTTAAATCCATACAACTTGTCGAGAAGGCCAGATGATTACACTTCAGCAATACCAAGAGTATTCTTTAATGTTGAGACAACAAGGCTGCCACCCTTGACTCAACCTCTCTATGACTTCCTCTGCTGATAGATTCCTTGCAAGTCATGAGTGGTGAAAATAAATCACCTCCCACACAACAGAACAACCCAAGCACATACGCAACAACTCAAGCACAACAACATCCAGCAGGATCCATATTTTGTAAAACCAATCAGAGCAGTAGAGACCACCATCTTGCAACCATATATCAACATGTATATAGGTCAGTCTTCTCCTAGGGCTACTAGAGTTCTTTCATTAGAAAAATATGCAGCGGAACCACCAAAATAACATCTTCAACATGCCCTAAATAAGATGTCAGAACATCTTATAGGTCATCACACAGAAGTAGCCACTCCTCCTTTGGCAACCTTTCAGCAGATCATAGAAGCTCCTATATCAGAGGGCACAGCAACAGATACACAAAATCCTTGGCAACCTCCTCCTAAACTCCATAAGCAGCAGCTCAAATGTTTAGAAAGATCAGCAACTCAGTTGTAGCTTCTCCTTGTTTAAACCACCAAAAAGTATCTCCCAAGATCTCATTTAGAACAGACAGGATGCCTGCTCCGATACCAATTGAAATTCTGGTATGCAGATCTCATATGTCCCAAGAACATTGATCTCTGCACAACAGGGACGAGGACAGACCATGACAATTTAAATTTCTTTAAATTGTCACAATTTCATGACCAACATCATGACGTCTATTGTGACATCTGCAGGCTGACAGACCTATTTATCTAACCATTTAAATTATGCAGAATTGTAAATGCAGAAAGATAAATAACACAGTAACTGTTTACCCAGTTTGGTGCAACATCACCTACATCTGAGGGCTACCAAGCCAGGGAGGAAATTCACTATTAGCATAATCAATTCAAAGTCAAACAACCAGTTTGCACTTCTCACTTAATCTCTACCCAATGACACTTCAACCTAGAGACACTCTAGACCTGAGTATTCCCACTCACTCCTCCTCAATCACAACACAGTGATACACAATTACGAAACAATTATGGAGATACACTCTAAACACACACCATGACCTTGCTTCACAGCTTTGATCAAGTGAGACACACTCTTGCTTAAAAGCTTTGAGTGACACAATGAACACACATGTTCATACAATTAACCAGAGCAATCATACGACCTACAATTGCTTGGTACATAAGGAATCATAAGATCCCTAGACACACGTGAAGAACCAAGTTCATCACTCACAAAACACACGTGAAGAGCTACACTCTTCACTCACAAATATGTCTACCACAATGTATCAAAAGATACAAAAGGTGACTTACACACACAAGGGACTTTCAAACCCTAAACCTTTATTTCACACTCTGGTTTTTCTTGATGTGAGTGCTTGATTTCTTCTGCTTCTGCTCCTCCTTAAATAGTTGTGCATACTGGGTTTGGGCTGGTCCAAAGTAACAAACATTAGTTTTAACAAAGTAAAACTAATTTCCACAATTCAAGGTGCTGTCGAATTAGGTTACAGTTGCTTCATGTTATGTCGAGCCCTGACTAGCATCTCGCATAAGATAGCTAAGGAGCCATAACAGGTTTCTTGAAATTTAGCCTGAGATATATCAGGTATCATAACAGAAAAACAAACCTTGCACGTCTGATGTCATACGATCAATGTCATAACATTGGTCATGACATTCAACTTCACTTAAACTTGCTTTCCAGCGTGCCCGGCTGAACACTTCTGCAGAATTTTCTTCATGACAGTAGAAACAAATGTTTTATAGTTCCCTAAAAAGTATCAAGATCCTTTTTATGAACACTAATTAAATCTGCAATTTGCTCCTAATAACTCTTTTTGGCCTGCACATACTGATGAGGAATATCCAACATGACCAAAACATTTATGTCAAGAGATATAACATAGCAGCCCCTGTTGTACCAGACATTGATGTCATGATATTCAGTATGACACCCATGACAGCAGTTCTGTCATCAGCTCCTGCTGCATCCATGACAACAATTCTGTCTCCTGCTCTTGTTAGCTCCTGCTGCACCAGATGTCATGATATTGGTAATGACATCCTGTTTACAACACATGATAGCAGTTCTATTATCAGCTCCTGCTAGCTCCTGCCGCACCACTACTCTTGCTGTTTCTCACACATGGCAGATGGATGTCACGACATTCAGCATGACATTCACATTAAAACACTCCACAACAGTTCTGTCACCACAGCAAATGGAGATGTAATAACATCCTGCTTAACATCAGTGCAGGATCATGTTTTACCAAAATTTAGCCAATCATAGGACCATGGACAATTCTATATCATAGAACCATGGAACTAACACATAGGCATCCCTCTCCCAGCCTCGAATGTGTGTAAGCCAGGGTAGTTGTCCCCTAGTTTTACTCATGGATCCGTGTGGAATTCAAAAAGTACCTCAGGTAAGCGACATCCGTATATGTGGAGGAAGTGTCCACAAACAGCTGAGTGCCGACTAAAAATAGAAAATAACATCTCAGCATACGTTGTCTGTGTATCTCAACCTCAGTTGGATCACCGTCTTCCTGGCGTGCAGCAACGAGCGCCTCACCAAATTTACGGGTGAGAAAGGAGAACCTGACATGAGCCCCTATAGTATTATCCACCTCCTCTAGTGCATCCAGTGGATCAGCCCCAAGCTCATTGACCAACATCTCTCTCGCATCCTCTTTCCTCATCCTACCATGACGGAGAAGGGTACCCTTGATCGGTATATGTAGCAGACATGATGTGTCATCTAATGTGATCGTGAGCCCTCTGTGCGGTAGATGGAGGGAGGACGTCTCAGAGTGTCATCTCTCAGCAAAGCCCATCAACATCCCGTTGTGGATCACGCTGTAACTGATCTCACAAAGGTCCTTCAAACCAGAGGCGGCAAGGACATCCTGGAACCAAGGCTCCTGTGGCTGCTCCAAAGATAATATCTTACGCCCGTGGTTATAGAACTTCTGCGGAGGACGAGTCTGAAAATTTCCATAAATAAGAAAAAATGTTAATAAGAAATAGTACAAATTACAAATTTCAAATGAAAAAAATATATACAATATGAGTAATGTTATATTTCCATCCCAGACATGTCTGGAAGTATGGTCGGCGTAACGTGTCAGCAGGGACATATCTGAGGGACTCCTGGGAAACCCTCTGGCTCATCATCGTCGTGTCACCAGCGTCCTCTGGTGGTGGGTCATCACCCTTTAGAGGTGGCACCGAATCAACATCAGGAGGAGAACCAGGAGTATCCCGACGAGGTCTGTGGGAGGACAGGGCATGTGATGAACCCTCGATTGAATCCCGACGCCTCCGGGATGAAGCAGTGGATGATGGGGTGGGGTACGAGATCGAGGAAATGTCCTGGGCATGTGATGAAGAAATATGTGCCTCAACTGTATCAGCCTCGATAACGGTGTCCTGCCTCCGCTCGCGTTTCACAGATGCATGTTGTGAAACTCGTCCAAGTTGCAATCTATCTTCTCTGTCTGCCATAACGTCTGCAAGGTATAACTAATAAAAAACAATTAGACACAAATAAATAAATAAAAAAAAAAACAAAAATAAAATTAACATTTTTTTTACTTCTGAATGTATACATGCAGAAAAACCCAGAATTCAGAAAGTTAGACTTGTTCTGGAGCTGCATCTCCGGAATTGCCTTAACGTTAATTTGTTCTGTAGATGCAGCTCCGAAACTTCCTGCAACTCCTACGACAACATCATTGGCGTCCCCAACCCAAGAAAACCGGTTATTTCAACCTCTGATCGTCCGTTTCAGCCAACAAACAATACCTACATTGTCTATAAACTATATTTCTAAAACTATCTAACGATTTCTACCCCTAAAACTATATTCTAACTCGTTTACATAAAATACTCGAAAATAACTTAGAAACTCGAAAACTTACCGATTATATTAAACTTTGAATGATTTGGAGTGTCTTGATCGTTGAGATAAATGCTCCTTGTCGAACTTGATTGAAAACAATTAAGTTTGGTGATTTTTTTTTTTTTTTTTTTATGATTGAGAGTTTAGAGAGTTTGAGAGTGAGATGTTGAAAAATGAGGGAGAAGAAGGGACTATGACGCGAATGTATTCTGATTTGTTCCGGAGCTGTATAAACAAAAACATTCTGGAGATGTAGCTCCAAAAAAAACCTACGTTAAGTAAAAAAAGTGTACTCAAAGATATATCTCCAAAAACAGGAGATATTTTTAAAAGCATACATTGTGCCTAAGAACCCAATGGTGGAATAAAAAATTCTCAAAGTTAATTGTAGGTCATTTAAACATAAAAATAAACTGAATAATAAATTAGAGGCCAGAAAACACGTTCACTAGCAAAAGTTTTAAATTCTCAAATTTATGTTAATTTCTGTCAAAAGAAAAACTTTAAAGGTGAGATTTCATTTCGGAAGTGAAAATAGTTTATATGAGAACCCCGGTATAATCGTGTTCTTATAGGTAGGTTCAGGTCTTGTTAAATTGTACTGATGGTAACAGGCTTGAACCAGGATTACCAATTGCAATTTATTTCTTACACCAGTTTCAACAAGCAGGCCAGACAGCATCATCATAACTTCATAAAACTTCAGCAATAATTAACACAACAAACAGGGTAATGTTATTCTCAACCACAGAATACATGCTAAGGCAGAGAGAGATCAAACACAATTTTGTTTTCTAAATGCATGACAATAATACTGAGTTTTCAACACAATATCACATACGAAGCCAACCACTGTTATTAATCCAAAGCAACTTAATTGCGACTTGGGTCAGTGAAGAAGCTGTTAAGGCCAGGCATAATCTCTGGTGACCTGTTGCGTGAAAACTTCCTCAACAAATGTTCTGTATACTTCTCACCCTCAGAAAAGTTCTCCAACACTCCTGCAGCTCGGCTCTGCTTGTTCACCCTAAAACCGTGAAAACAACAAACAAACAAACATTCATTATGCTGCTTCGGAAACTAAATCAAACACCAATAGCTATATCCCTGCATGAAACTGAGATAAGAGTTCTGTCAAACCAGAACAAACTAGTTTTGATAAACAATTTATTTGTAGCTTATAACAAAAGCACATATCAAGTATAAACGCTAATGTATAAGCTATTTCTGTAACAAAAAATAAAATATTTATAGCAACAGGTGGAAGTTGTTATAATCTTTCTTGAAAAACATATGAAAATACGTTGGAAACAACTTATGAATATTGTCATGAGTTGTTTTTATAAAAACTTATGTCCGTAAATAAGCTCAGATGCGTCAACCCAAACCAATCCTAAGTGAAACCAACAGCTTCTAAATCACCGCCGTCCATGTAAGACTCAAACTGCTTGTTAGTTTCATAAATTTGAGAAATTAGCTTCAATTCAACCATTAGAATATTATCAATGGTTAAAGATCTCTTTACCACATAGCAAAAAATAGAAAGCGGATATTCAATTTTCGGTGTCCCCTTATTTTAAGAAAAAATAAATCGGATAATTACATAGGGCCAAAGTGATAGCTTAATTGAAAACGTTAATTTCCGATCTGTGATAAGTCAATGTCAATCAAAAATTTCAAAGATCAATAACCACCATGCAATAATTCGGGTACAACGGATGGAGAGAGATACCTGACTTCAGGGTTGATGCACATGTGACGAACCATAGAAAACCCACAGATCCCAACAGCAGCTCCAACCGCAAAGAACAGCGGGTACACCTGAAAGTGAAACAAATAAAAGAAAAGTGAAACCCTAACTCTTACAAAATGCGAAGAAAATAGACGATTACAGATGTGATGGATGGAAAAGGACTAACCTCGGGCCTGACCCAACGATTAGCCATGGATTGCAGTATTAGAAGTGAAGATAAAAGAGAAAGAGAGAGGAGTGGTTGCAGTGAAAATGGAGCTAGAGAACAAGAAGAAGAAGAATAAGCAAGAGTTTATATATTACTATGTGCTCTTACAAATTAAATATTAAAATGTTACAATATACGCAACTTTGTTATTGGTGCTTACCATTAACAATTTACAAGTTGCTTGTTTGGCCGTAAGGATAGTGATACCACGTCACTCAATCCGATGTATTGCAAACTGTCAACTACATTTAATATCAAAAAGCTAATATTTTATTTTATGAAATTTGTTAGAATTTTTATTTGTCCAAAAACTTTGAAAAATATGTGTTTAAAAATATACTACATTCAATTCTTAAAATAAATAAAAAATACTAATTGGGATATGTTTTTATGACACAACTCATTCAATTTATAATGACTCTTAATTTATATGCATCAATATTTTTTTTTCAATATATGCATTAATATTTTTTTTCAATATATGCATTAATATTTGTTTGATATAAATTTTTTACTTAATATTGATTATTTTATAGGTGGACATGATCTTTCAATCCATCTAAGTAAATTGAAAAAATATGTAATATGAATTGGTGAATCAAAATATGTTTATTAAAATGGTGGATATTATTCTTGATAAATATTATTTTGATAAATTTTTTAGAAATTAATTAGGTGAGATTACAATTTTCTTATTTGTTAGAAGATATTAGTTGTCTTTTTTTTTCTTCTCCAGAAGTCTCCCATCCATTCATCTATGGTCCTTAAAGGGATGTTCCTTCATATCTCACGTTAAGTGATTTTTGGTAAAGTTCGTCATCTTCCCTAAGTAACGCATTTTTTCTTAATTTTTATAACTCCCATATAATTATAGAAATGTTTTTTAACCGTCATATGTGGTTGTTCACGTCACCTCCTGACACCTTTATAGAGATCGGATCTGACTTGCTCATCCACTCATATCGCTATGTGATCGGATCCGATTTGTTTATGCCTTGTAACAATGTTCTCTTTAATCGGGATCCAACTTGTTTTTCCTTTTGTACTCGGCCTACAAAAGCTTGGCCTTTGGGGATTTTGGAATGTACATAAGCCTCCCGATCACGAGGTCTAATTGGATTGAAGTGTTCAGATAAGAAAATTTTAGAATGCCTTCTCCCTTGAGCCAATCACATATTCGATAAGTTATCGTATGATAATGATTTAAAATATCAATAATGACAATATTCTCTCTTTTTGTCATGATGACTTTTATGAGTGTGAAGACAAACTTCTCAAGTGATTTTGATGACGACATAATCCTCAACATGCAAGGATGATTTTCAAGACTTCAAGATTATATCAAGCTCAAGCAACTCACTTTCTATTCAATATGTCAAAGTTTGATCAAGAAAGAAGATAAAGTTCGACACAATTGAGGTACAACAATTTAAGCATTTATATACCTTACTCAAGTGTTCAAAACTTCATCTCCTTCTTGCATTGCATAAAAAACCTTTTAAAATAAAACTATGCATTTTGCCTCAATTTTGGAAAAACTGGTTTATGGAAAATAACACTGAGTAACCGGTTACCCTATCCTGGTAACCGATTACTTGCTGCAGATTTTCAATTTTTGGTTACGTTGGAGGCAGGTAATCGGTTACCCACTTATGATAACCGATTACCACTGGCGCTGCAGGCCAGAAAGTTGCATCTCTTGGTTTGAAAAATGTTTTCTTCTTCTTCTTGAACCATGTCATCTTTTGATGATTTTAGTCATTCTGAAAGAATGTTTAGAGGCCTATATATACCTCTGAACTCAGTTTTTCTAAAATCAACCTTCTTGCATAAAATTTTCAAATATTTTCATCTCTTATTTTTCATATTTTTCAAGTGTCAAAATTTTAAAATTTTCATAGAGTGAAACTTGCATTCTCAAATTTTCAAAAATTCATCTAAGTTTCATTCTCTTATATTTGAACACTTGATAAGTTATATAGAGGTGGAATATCAAAGGAAGATCAATCGAAAGATTGATAATTTTGAAGACATTTTTAACGCTATTCAAACAAATTATTCAAGTTTTTTTTATTACAGTCTTAAGTGTTCCAGGATTATTGGAATTAAGATCGTAAGGATTGTTACCTTGCTGTCCAGGATTGTTAGAAGCAAGAGGTCCACACTGAGATGATTGTTCTCATTGGACTTAGTTGAAAAATCCAACAGTGTGTTCTTGGTGGTTTGATTGATTTGTGTCTGTATAGAAAGACTAGGTAGAAAGTCTTGTCTTAAGACCAAACAATATTGAAAAATCTCTTGCATGTTGAAAGGGGACTGGAGTACTCTCGGACTGTGAGGGGAACCAGGATATCTTGTCGTGTCATTTTTACTTTCCTCAATTTACCGCATTCCTCACTTAGAAATATTTAGGAAAGTAAAACAAGAATTCTACCACAAAACCAGAGAAATTTTTAAGTACCTAATAAACCTCCTTTGTTCTCTGGTGAGTATTTCGACTTCTGGAAAATTCGTATGAAGGCACATTTAGAGGCGCAAGGAGAAGGCATATGGAAAACTGTTGAAACTGACCCTCATGTACTAATTAGTGTTGTAAATGGTCTCGGTACTCCAAAAATTCAAAGTTAATGGGATGATTATGATAAAAAGAAAATCCTAAAGGAGAAAAAGGCTATCAGGATTTTGCAAAGTGCTTTAAGCATGGATGAGTTCTTCCGAATTTTACAATGCAGATCGGCTAAGGAAATCTGGGATACTTTGGTAGAAACTCACGAAGGGGCCGCCAAGGTTAAAAGATCAAGGCTGAACACACTAAATCAAGAATACGAGATGTTTCATATGCTGCTCGGAGAATCTATTGTCACTCTTTAGAAAAGATTCATTCATTTGACTAACCATTTGATTGCATTAGGTAAAACATTCTCCAATGATGAATTAAATCTGAAAGTGTTAAGATCTTTAACAAGAGATTGGCAACCCAAAGTTACGGCAATATCAGAGAAGAAGAGTTTCTCAACAATGACTTCCGTATCAGTTTTTCGAAAGCTTCAAGAGCACGAATTAGAACTTGGTCGTCTTGAGAAGCATGAAGGACAAGACGATGATGTTTCAGAGGAAGATGAAAATTTTATGTTACTAGTTAAGAGACTTGGAAAATTCTTCAACAAAAGTGACAAACCCGTCAACTATGCAAAAAGGAAGAAACACTTCAAGAAAAGGGAGATTTCCACATCAAATTAAGATGTTACATGCTATGAATCTGAGAAGCAAGGTCACATTAAGTCGGATTGTCCAAGACTTTAAAAGAAGAATGGATTCAAAGGAAAAAAGGAGACAAAGAACAAAAAGGCTTATGTTGCATGGGAGGACAATGACATTAGTTCATCATCCGAATCCGAAAGCGACGAAGGTGAAAACTTGGCATTGATGGCTTTTCATCACTCCGACGACGAAGATTATAAGGTTGGTACTTCTTTTTTAATTTATGATAACGATACTCAAGAGGCTATAAACGAGCTATTAAATGAATGCAAAGTTTTGTGTAAAACCATATCTTCACAAAAGAATGAAAAAGATGAAAAGAATGAAAAAGAAAAAATTGTTAGTGAAGAGAAACAAAACTTTGTATGCAAAAATTGTGAGTCACTTTCATTCCAAATTATCCAACTTAAAAGAGTTCTTGAAAGATACGAAAAAAGACAAATGGATTTAGAAGGGGTCCTTAGCCAACAAAGATACTCAAATGATAAAAACGGACTTGGATATTCAAAGTTTTCTAAACCAAGTTCTAACAGAACAATATTTGTTAAGGCTAGTGATCAGACTTCTAAAGAGAGAGTGAGCAAGCCTAAAGTTGTGCTTCGTCATCATAAAAAGAAAAATGCTACGAAAAAGAAATCTTTCATTCCTAGATATAAGAGTAATTTTGTACCTACTTATTTCTATTGTGGTATTATCGGTCATACACCTAATGCATGCTATGTTAGAAATTTTAGTATAGCAAGTGGGCATTGTGTGTGGGTTAAGAAGGGAAATAATTATGAAGGACCTAAAGAAACTTGGATACCTAACAATAAGTAATTTGTTTTGTAGGTTTGCTTGAAGACCACTTCAAATCTTTGATATCTTAATAGTGGTTGTTCAAAGCATATGATCGGTGATCTTAACAAATTTTCAAATCTAAAGCTTATGACCAAGGGTTATGTTACCTATGGTGACAATAACAAAGGAAATATTCTTGACATAGGCAAAGTTTTAGCACCCCCTTTCACATCTATTGAGGATGTCCTTTATGTCGAATGACTAAAGCACAACTTACTTAGCATAAGCCAATTATGTGACAAAGGATCCAAAATCAAGTTTACAAAAGATGAATGCTTGATAGAAGACGAAGTCACTAAAGAGGTAAAGTTAAAAGGTAAAAGAATGAATAACATATTTATGATTTCTCTTGACAATTTATCTTTGAAGGTTAAATGTCTCACGACGAGAAATCTGACGAAGGCGTCCTGAGGTATGATTGGTTCTCTTTTATATTTGACAACAAGTCGTCCTGAAATTATGTTTAATGTGTGTCTATGTGCGCGATTTCAGGAAAATCCAAAGGAGTCACATTTCATTGCTGTGAAGAGAATTATGAAGTATCTCAAAGGAACGACAAATGTTGGATTATGGTATCCAAAAGGTAGTTCATGTAATCTTGTAGATTATTCTGATTCAGACTATGCAGGATGTAAGACAAATTGCAAGAGCACAAGCGGAACTTGTCATATACTTGGAAATGCATCAATGTCTTGGTCATGTAAGAAATAAGCATGTGTTGCACTTAGCACGACTGTAACAAAATACATTGTGGCTGGAAGTTGTTGTATTCAGATTCTTTGGCTCAAAAAGCAGTTACACGACTATGGATTGAATCTTGGATGCGTTCCTCTTAAGTGTGACAACACGAGTGCAATCAATATTACAAAGAATCCTATGATGCA